GAATAATATTATCATGAAAATCAACTTCTCGTTGAAGTTCGAGCTAAATATTACAAGTATAAATTTTAGCTTGATATCTAAATAATTTTATACTAAACAGACTGAAATAGATACCGGCAAACACTACACATTTGTAATTACCTCACGAATTATCTCTTTAACGGTGGCATTGTTAAAGTTATGAAATGTTTTTAATGCAAAAGGTTGTTTTAAACTTTTCCAATTTGCACAATTGACTTTTCCATAACTGCCAGTACCGATCTCTTGAAAATTGCTAAAATGGTTGTATTCGTAGTATTTGACATTTTTGCTTGAAATATATTCTTCAATACGATTAATCCACTCATTTGAGTCATTGGTAACTTGCATTCTGAATTTTTAATTTATTTATAACAAAATGATAAAGAAAAGCAAGCAAAAAAAAAAAAAAAAAAAAAAATGCAATTGGTTAGTCATGTAACGTTAATCAAGTTTTTAAGCCACCGATTATCCGTAACAGTAAGACAATTATTACAGTGGTACAATCGTCGATTAAACCGAAATTCATTTACTTATGAAGTGATCGAATAAAAAAATTCACTGCGATCGAACCTGAAAAAATATATATATATATATATATATACACGTATTTACTAATTTCTTCCAAAAAGATCGAACTTTTAAAGGAAACTAAAAACATCCCGAAGTGTTCAACAAAAAAAAGAAATAAAATGAAAATAAAATAATCAAGTCAATCGTAAAATGATCCTATCCAAAAGAGCAATAAATGACTTACATGAAGTTTAAAAAAACGAAGAGCTTAGTTTTATCTACCATTTAATAGAATGATCCAAAGCGATAGAAAAGACAAAAATAAAATAACAATAAAAAAAACTTAATCATGTTACTTCCATTGCTCAATCTCCAAAATAGTATAAAGTTTAAATCATTAAACTTTTTAATCAGATTTTATTAAAAAAAAGATAATATGAAATATAATTATATTTATATGGTCGACTAGCGATGCCTCGTGGGTTTGCTAACGCAACGTGAAATTTTAAAATTTATTGTATAAAATATAAACTAAAATTAAAAATCCTATATTTTGTAATTGAAGTAGATTACCCTAACTAATCTAACCTTAATTCCAACCTTTAATATTTAATAAACAGTTTGCAATAAATGATATGTGATTGATTGGAAATTAGCCACGTTGTGGCAAAATCCTAATTAATGATATTTATTAATTGCAAACTGTAAAGTTATCATAAATATTTTTTTATTATTATTTTAATGATAATTTCATATTTTAAAAAATAATTTATATATGTTAAGATATTTTATTTATAGATATAATAAATGGCAATTTTTACTAATGTCAAACAAATTTAATTGAAATTTCTTAATCATACTTTAAATTAACAAATATATCTGCTATTTCCGAATTATAAATTTTTTGCATATTTCTACACTTCGACCAGTGAGTATTAATCAGTATTAAGCGATAAAATAAAATCAACAATAAAATAAACATGACGACAAAATTTTTAGCAAGATATCACGAATCTGTTCGACTGAGTATTTCACCAATTATTCATTTTACATTTAAAAAGATATCATTAATCAGAGAATTGATTAATACTTCCTTTTTTGTCGAACCAATACATAAATAAAAAATCCCTTAATGTATTATCTTAGTTTTTTTTTAAAATGGGTAAAGAATTCGAAGAGACCAATGGATGGATCTTGAGGATAACAACGAACCGTTATCTGCTCACGTAGAAAAGAATTTTTTTTTATTATCGGATTTTTCTACCGTATTATTCGTAAAGATAAATAAGATAAATGTGAATAATTTTTCTTCATTGACAATTTTGATTTAAAAGCCCGTCTAAACCATACTGTTATCTACAACCCTTGTAAGGTAATTTTATTTTGGTAAGGAACTTATTTATCACCACCATTTTTACTAAGTATTCTGGGGACTAGAAACCGTTGGAGGTGGTGGTACAAAATTTAATCACAGAATCTTTTTTCATGATGGATTAGCTTTTATTTAATAGAATAAAAGTATCGGACCTTTGGGGGACAATGCACAAAATTAATTCAAAAATCAAAACGTAATAAAAAAAATTTATTTGGTTAAATATTTGTCATCCAAATTAAGAAAATAAAAAAATAGCACGAGAATAACTTTCATCTTCTATTACCTATAAATGACCTTTGACTTCTTCGATGACTTTCTGCATAGCTATAAGTGGGCAGACTTTTTAAAGCAGGATTTGTAAGGCTAAAAATAAAAGGTATATTACTGGTATATTCTAATTAAGAGAAAGATATAGTAAAATACAATTTAAAAAAAAAAATTAAATTTCTTTGTAAATCCATTGTTTTCACGTGACATAATAAGCCATAATCCCGTCTTATCATCTGCAAATTCTCGTTACTTAATGATTATAGCAAGAATATGATAAGATATACCTGCCTGTCATATAGTGACAACAATCACGGGCTCGATAATTAAAGGATACATTAATCAAAATGAGTATATTGAAAACTTCAATCATTTTTGTTTTAAAGATAAAATTGTTTTTAGACAGAATTAGTTGTTATAAATGATCCATTCTATAAGAAGCGCATGATCTCACGAACAAAACAAACAAAAATGAAAAGTTCACTCTTCTATTTCAACTTTTACCTTTTTTCAGGATAAACATCCAAACAAGTGGACCGAATTTTATCGATTGAGTTTACTATATAGACTTTAAAAAATATATATATATATTTCAAGTAATTTTTATCGAAATATCTACAACAACTTTCTAGCAGTGGATATGATTATGACAAAGACAATGACAACGAAAAGGAATCTTTCGCAGTATCAGCTGTATTTACGGATAGTTTCATACACATGCTTACACTTAAAGCGTCAAGTTTAAGTCATCCTTGAATTAATACACGTGTATCAGAACACATGCGTCACTGAACGATTTAGAGTTTCTCGGTTCTCTAATCAACAAAATGATTTTTTAATTTTATTAGAATTTAGGTTTATCTTCGTCGGAAAATCGGTTATATTTGTATTAATGGGATTGCAGTGAAAACGAATTATTCAATTTGGTAAGCCTATGCCCATGCTTGCACTTTATGTTTCAGTATTCAAGAACTTTCTTGGATGAGTACTCATTTGATCAGGATCCATTAGTGTCTCATGAACCTGTTTAGATACATGAGTCTCTCAGTTTCGTTTTTTCTAGCTATTTAAAATTCTATTATTTTTATTCTTGGTGTTTTTTTTTGTTACAATGTCTTACAATAATAGCAATATTTAAAATTTTCCGCGAATTTAATCATATGATTTCAGCTATCTAATGTATTCTATTTTTTTAAAAAAAAAAAAATCGATGCGGTCAGGATTCTTGATTACCGGGTTCGTTAGCATTCATACTCCGAAGTTTCAATTATTATGTATCTCAAATGAGGGATCCATCAAGCAGATCGAGCATGATGGAATGATTTAATATATTGAACGAATTTCAATGTTTTCTCTATTTGAATTTATTTGAATTTATAGTAATGAATATATAATAGATCAAAATAAGTTGGTATTTAGGAAATTTGAATACAAAACATAGTTCAAAGTTCGAAATTGATTATTGGTCAAGTTCGAGTCATGACATTTACACTTTGGGTCTTGTAACCCTATTCAACATTTTCGGAGCGTAAATACAATTAAACTTCAACATTAGAAACAAATAATTCAACATATGAATCAGGATTACCAAATAAACCAGGTTTTCTCTTAACATCAAATCCTTCAACAGGTCGAAAAACAAAATTTCTAACTAGCATACCTAATAATACTTTAAACTCACTTAAAGCTATCTTATTACCTATACAAGATCTAACTCCTGTACCGAAAGGCATATAATTGTAATTTGTAACCACTTTAATTAATGAAGAATCTAACCATCTTTTTGGGTCAAAATTGTCAGCAGTTGGTCCCCAAATCGAAGGTAATTTCTGAAGTGTCGCAATTGGGATATCAATCGTAGAACCCTATAAATTTTAAATGATTATTTTTTTGTATTTAAGTTTTTAGAAAAGTCTTAATTAATAAATAATAAAAGAGCATGAAATATTAACATACTTTTGGAACAAATTGCCCGCCAATAATCATATCTTTGATATTAGTACGTTGTAAAATCGAAACTAAGATGAAAATTATTAGTTAATAAATCTATTATGTAAAATTAATTTGATAAAGAAATTTTTAAAAAATATACCTGCAGGATTTAATCTAAAAGTTTCTTTAACAACGCAATTAAGGTACTCCAAAGAATTAATTTCATCAAAGTTGGGATTAAATTTGGATTTATCGGGGAAGGCCTTAACCAACTCTTCACGTAATTTATCCTGTTCATGTGGATGCTTTGCAAGTTGATACAAGGCCCAATTCATTATAATGCTCGTAGTTCCATGTCCTGCTAATAAAATGGTCATGATCTAAATGTCCAAAAAAAAAGAAATTTGATTAATAGCGGCACAAATTTTTATTTTTAAGAAATAAATTCTTTTAATTACCTGAAATCTCAGTTCTTCATCGGTCATTTTTTCTTCAACAGGTAAATCTTTGTTGATTTTAATTAATGCAGACAATAAATCATAACCATCCAAATTGTTATTTCTGTCATCATGGTATTTTTCTTCAAGCAAATTTCTTGATTCACGTTCAATAACTTTACATGCATTATTATATCTTATGTTCATATTTAATGGAATTTTTCTGAAAAATGGGAAATAGGAAGATAAAATGCTAATGAAAACGAAAAAAGCTGGATTTCTGAGTATTAACATTAAAGACTCGTAAACTTGTGCTAATTCACTTGGGGATGTTAGTGAATTAAACGCGTGATTAAATCCTAGAAAAAAGAAATTTTTAAGTTGGTAACTTTATAAATTTCATTCATATATAATTATAAAAAGAAAAAAAAAATTTTCTCTAACCAACTAAGCCAATGATATCTAACGTAGTTTTGGAGATATAGGGAGTAAGGTTGATTTTTGCTTCTCCTTTATTTACTTTATCTTCTAATACACATTTTAATGTCGAAGCTACGTTAACAATAGTAGGTACCATATTCTATTGAAAAAAAAAAATATTAGTTAATTTATTTAAATTACATCAATTCAATAGATTTACGTACTTTAATGTTATTATAAGTGAAAGCAGGGTTCATCATTTTTCTTTGTCTCTTGTGTATTACTCCTTCTACAATGGAAAGTCCTCGACCAAGAATTGGCTTAAAATCCCCCCTCAAAACTTTAGGTTTAACGAAATCGTATCCATGATTTAAAACTACATCTTTGATTATCTTTGGATCTGTAACTATAATATAAGGTTCATTTAATACTCCGTGATATTTTATAAATTTTCCGTATTTTTTTATCCATCTAGTGTGTGGTTCAGAGGACTATAAAAGAAAAAATAAATAAATAAAATAAAATATAAAAAAATTTAATATTTCGCGATGAATAAAGTAGGTTAACAAACCTCTTCTGAGAAAATTTTTTTAAGATTTCCGAAAAGAAAACTCTCAGAAGGCGGACCAGGAATGACTCTTAAAGGAGAAATATAATATGGATAAATATAGATTTTATAAGTAAACCAACTTATAACTGCTGCTAAAGCGAAATAACTAATTAAAGAACTTAATTCGAGCATTTTAATTTTGGTTTTGATTTCAGAATCTCCTCTATTATATAGAGGATTTAATTTCTCTGTTTTTATTTAACCTTTTTTAGTACAGATGTCCGAAGACAAAGACTTCCGGATATCTGTTTCTTTTGTTCACGGATTGGATAAACATGGATAGGATCGCAAAAATTAATATCCAATTATCGGTCGGACAAAAAATGTAAAAAAACATATTAAAGTTACAATTGAGCTAATTTAGATTAATTGGACTTGCCAAATTGTCTTGTTCATAGAAGCCAAAGAGCCGAAGTCGGATTTTTATATAAAATTTCTGGATTTGGAGTTTTTGAAATAATTGAACGAAGAGTAATTGAATTTGAGTTAGACATTTTTTATTTGACAAGATCTTCAACATTTCGCGTTAAAGATCGATCAAAGTGAACAACAAAATTTTTGTTCACATTAACAACCACTTAAATTTCCAATTAACAGCGCTTTAGAATATTATATTTTGATTGATTGTTTAGCCAACCAATCATTTGTATACTCGAACAAACCGATCTACATTTTGGTTGATCGTTCTGGAGTCGAAATTTATTGGTCAAGAATTTTAGTCCCGGTAATTTTAATACATTAAATAATTCCGGTTAAATGCTTTTACGCTATTTTTATTATTTTAAAAGTACTGCACTAACTCAATTTATGCAGCCGGGTTACGAGAATGTAATACATCTTTCATGCACCAATAAAAAAATTCACGAGTCACAAAGACTTGGCGTCATTGAAAGTCCTACTATACTCACTACAGAAAGTTGTTGTCCGAAATTGGCGATAGTTTTTGCAGCAGGCATAGTACAAGCTTCACCGTCAATTCATATTGATTGCCGCATTAATTTGCGATTTAAATGTTGCGTTCTAATTTAAAATTAAAACCAACAGTAATATTGAAAATTTGATAAAGTTATTTAACGTACTGAATTTGATTTTGACTTGTTTTTTCAGGTTTACTTTTAACACACAAAAAAAAATATTAACTACGTTTGCTCCTTGGCGATCTGATCGAGAAATGACATATCGGTATCGATATAGATCAAAATAATTTTTCATCGCATCGTTAACATTTTTGAAAGTGTAGAAATGTGTAATACAACGTTTAACTTTTTTAAATTTTTTTAATATGATGAATCTATTAATATTATTTACTTGGAGGTCAACAGCTGTTGTATATCATCAATATTTACCCGAAGTTTTTAAACTCATGAAAGTTCGATATTTTTCCGTGAAAAAAAATTAAAACAAAACTGGCGTTTGAAATACGTAAATAAGTAATTTCCCATACATTTGATTTTGAATAACGTTTAGATGATTTTGAGCAGATTAGTAGCAAATTAAAATAACATACAAAATATTCTGCACGATATTTATTCATGTATCGGATAGTTTATTGACAACAAAAGGTCTGTTTATGAGGTTTGTTCTGAATAACCAAATCCCGACAAAATACAAACCCTAATGCTGAAGTCTCGAATTACACAAATTTGGAAAGTTCAAAATACCGAATATCTTACTAGCCCGAAAAATCGAAAAACCGAAAGTAATGATAGGAAGGAGGAAAACCGGTACGGTACGGCTCGGCTGATCAGTACGGTACGATTTTGCAGATCGGTACTTTATCCAAATATATGTATGGTCGTACCGTACTGATCAACCGAACCGTACCGTACCGTACCGGTTTTCCTCCTCCCTATCATGTAATCGCCAAAGTACGAACTAGAAAATGCGGATTTATATTATATGAAATGCAATTGGCGAACTTTCAACAAGTATCAAGTATTATTTTATGCATCCATTAATAATAAAATTTATTAAAATGTTTTTAAAAAAAAATTTATCACCTCTAATTTAATAAAATAAATTATAACGAAAGATTATGTGCTATCCCACGAAGAAAATCCATCGATGAACGATTTTCTCGATCATTAACTATTGTCATAATCATTTTTCCCTATCAACTAATGATTTTTTTGTGTTGGACGTTGTTCACCACGAATAATGCATTCAACTTAAAGATCAGCTTGTTGCTTGCTCTTTTTGTAGCTCTTTGATAATTATAAAAACCTTACATTACAACTAAACGAGGAACAAGCTTTTGGAAATTGGAAACAGAATTCCACATAAAGCCTGAGATATAATGAATCCTAGAAAAAATCATGATGGTTAGTGGACTGTTAAAAAATTAGTTAACAGGTAATTAATTATTAATACATTGTTTATTGTTTTTAATTAATTTTAATAAATATTTTTTTATTTAAAGTTAGTTCAACATGCAATTCCTATATTTGAAGCAACCCATCCAAATGCTATTTGTATTTTTGCTTTTGGTAATTCTACATCACATGGTGCTTTTGCATCTGATGCATTAGTTGTTTATGTATGAATGTAAATCCAGATGAAAAGCAATCCCAAATGAGAAATATAATATTTAATAGGCAAATTCCAACTATGAATTTTCTCAATGATTATTTTGATCAAGCACTCCAAGAAATACCAAAGGGTATGAAATAAGTTTTAGAAGAACGTCAATTAATGAGACCTGATTTGATAGAATATTACATGTGGCATATTCTTAAAAATCAACCTGAATTTCTTGCTCAAAAAGAAATGATTCAAGAAGTTATTGAAGAATGAGATCATAAAGTAAATTTTTAGCAAATATGCCAGGATACACTGATTATATGGTTTAATGTATGTGACATATTTTTGCAGATAAGTCAAATTGTACAAATAAAAACCTCATTTGAAGTTCTAAGTAAACTCACAGAATGAGCAAACATATACTTACATATATATTTTTTAAAATTCAAATAAAGTTTATTAATCTATAATTCAAAAAAGAAAAAAATTGTAGAAATCATTTTCAAAACAATATTTTTTCTGGATAACCTGATACATATTGCAGTTTTGCAATTTTTTATCCAAAATTTCATCCAGTAGTAAATTCATTGAAATATATTAAGAGTATCCAAAAAATATTCCTGTAAACATTGTAACTAAATTTGGATTGGTTGTAATAGTTTGTAACTACTTAAGAAAATTTGGCTACTATATCTAGGATTTAATATGATGTAGTTACCATAATCCTTGTTTTACAAATGAATAGCATTTTTGAGTTCGAAAGCTTTAAGGTAACTTATACCTTCTTGATCATTTCTACTACTCATTATCAAAAGGATTTGTTTTATAAATTAATATTTAATTGCTAAGAATCCTTTTTTATACTTTAAGTGATAATTTGTCTTATAATTTCTTTACAATATTATTGTTGTCTAATTACTCTTTAAAAATCTTTCTGATATTATGCTTTTAATGATTTATTTTTCTAAATATTCTTTCTAGTGGATTGTCCTAAGACATTTTAATATATTAATATATTAAAATATCTTAGAACAATCCACTTATACTATACTAATATATCCTAGGACGTTATAATCTATTAATTAATATGGGTTGTAATTTAAGAAAATCAAGTTCTGAGAATTTTTTAATAAAATTGAGATTTTAATTGCATTTTAATTTTTATTACATTTAGATTAAAATGTAATAAGATATTAATTTTAGTCAAAAATTTCTCAGAACTTGATTTTCTTAGATTACAACCCATATGTCCTAAAAATGAGACATGCTTTCCCTCTATGTCACTTATTAGTTAGTAAATATGGATGGAGATGCATGCCTATTTGGTTGCCTTTTAAAATACTAAAATGGTATAAAAAAAGAGGCGACAGGTGGTACAGTATATTTGTGATTAATTTTGGCTGGCTCTATGGTATAACTCTGGCTGATCTTTTGAGCATGTAATTTTAGGTCTTAGCTTGGTAATATGATAGCACTATGATGTTATCATGGAACCATTATAGAACTGTTAAGAAACTAGTAGGGAACTGGCAGAATGCCTGAGAAATTCCATTTATTCGCCAGTTTCAATCCACTTATATACTAACTTGGATGCTAAGTTATTATGCCCAAAATTCTGGCTAAAATTATGGAATAATTTTGGCCGATATTATTGTTAATTTACTGCATCTTTTTTTTAAAATGAGTGTTATGAGAAAATACATATATTGTTAGGAGAATAATCTGATAGTACTCCCAGAAGATTTCGTGTCAAGTGATACGTTATGTATGTATTATTAGGAGAATCATATGATAGTGATCTTAGAAGGCTTTATGTTAAGTGATACTTTATGTGTATATTATTGGAAGATATATATGCTAAATTTGAGATGAATTGGTTAATTACTTGCAAAAATATTTCATTATAAATTCAAGAAAATCCAGCCTAGTAAATGGAGGCATCTTAATAAACAGAGACAGGAACTGGGATGGATTTTATTATGGGAGAAGAGTTTTTTTCTTTAATTTAACTTGGTCTTTTATATTACATCCTAGTGTCTTACTTATTCTAGTAAAAATAAAAATTCTAGAAAAAATCGAAATTTTCCTATAGATATATATGATATATGTATATAGTATATTTATAATATATGTGTATGGTTTATATATATAATATATATGTATACCTATAGGTAAAAAAAAAGATAAGAGTTTTTGATTTTTACTAGGATAACTAGGATGTCTAGGACGAGTAGTTGAATTTCTCTTTTATTCATCTTAATATTACCATCTAGCTATATTTCATCTATCCTAGAAAACTTTGATAACTAGGATGGAAACTGAGACAGATTTTCTAGAACAGTTTGCTGGAATATATTCTCGAATTTTACATCGCTTATATATATATTTAATTGCCTACCAGTCCATGTGTCGAAGCTAAATCAGCCAGCTTTTTCTGATGGTAGTACTCCTTTGATCTATGTTTTTTTTGCATGTGTATCACAATAGTCATATTTGGATTTTATCAATTCACTGCATTCTTTGCAAAAAACTTGCCTAGAATTTCAGTAGACTTTACATCCCTTTGGGTGATAGCATCTCCGATTGCATACTTCTCCAATCCTAAGAATATATAAACAATTATATAATACCAGTGTGTCACCTTTTTTTCTGCTTTCTATTTATATGTATCAATTAATAATGTCAGTGAATTAATTTCATTTTAAACTTTTTTCTTACGAATAATATACCCTGAGTTTTGGTATAATTATAAATTATTTTAAATTGCTTGAGAAAAAATAACACAATCTGAGCTTTCAGAGTTCCTTGATGCCCCTGCCCTTTTTTACCCAGAGGCTGAAAAAGAAAAAGTTGGTCAAATGCTTTATTATTCTGGTGAGAATTACTTGATAGGCATCCTAACTCGTGACGAATTAGTTGTGAGAAATGATGAGGGTTCAACTTCAATTCTTGAGGATGAGATAGCAAATCATTAAGATATCCCATTCATGTCGATCGACATAGAAGAATTCAAAGAATATATTAATCAAATTCCCATTATATTCTTCGTCTCTATAGATATCTCATTAATAGCCAGAAAACAGTTATCACTATTATTGGTATCATGGTATTTTTTGATATTCGCATTTCTAATAATGCGAGCATTCCCAAATTCTGGTCTAAAGTAAAGAGTATACATGCTATTGGGAAAGACAGTAGAGGGAGTATTATGAACATAAATTTAATCCAAATGGAATGTATAAAGGCATATTCTATTCGTGGTTATCATGCGGAAAAAAAGCCATATCTCTATATTATCGCACCCAATAGAGACGAAAGGTTTACTGCTCTCGATATTATCTCAAGCTACAATTCAAAGGTTGATCTCGAATGTAAAATAGAGACAGCTTCATATGATACAGGCACATATTATTGTAAAATTGCAAAAGAGCATCGGATATCATTTTCTGGATAGAGATTAATAAGTAATTATAGATATAATTTCAGTGTACCTTATTATGTCAAATCCCATCACTGCTCACATGCATTTTATGCCCATATTGATAACTTTCGCCCCATAGACAATTTTGAACCACTTTACAAAATCTATCCATCTTCTCTCTTTACTCATGATCAAGCATTGGTTCTAATATAAAACATAGAAACATATGATTCACATAGATCAAGGAACTTCCCAGAAGCAAAAAATAATACGTCCCAAGTTTTTACGATCTGCATGATCCTACACTGGAAAAACGATCCAAAACTACTAGAATAAATATGTTTTGTTGATGTTTAGACAACTCCAGACCTGCACAGGACAACAATTGTATGTGAGAATCAAGCTAATTTATTAAAAGCATTTGCTTTATATTAAAAATCTTTTGCCCAGATATTCAGCTTAGTTTTAATGATTCAGGATATGATTGGCCTTTTATTGTGGAAAAGACTACTAAATTAAAGATTCTCAAATGAATAGTTCAGCGAATGTCAGCAAAACCACGTAAGAAAGCCAATGCTAATTTCTATTCTTATTTGGAATTATTTTGGGGGAAAAGGGGAACTATCTAGCAATAATTTCTTTCAGAGGAATTCACAATGGGTAAAAAAGACAGGTAGGAGTTTTACTAGATAAGGATCGTAAAAAAACAGGATGTCGAGAATCCATTAAGATCAAAATCCATCCTAATTTATGTATTGAATCTTACTTTTTTAAACTCCCTAGATGTGTACTGATTGATTTTAGTACAAGTTTTATGCAACTTCACCCCACTCTGAGAAAACATCACTCAAATTCTTCTTATAAAAATGTGGTCTTGATGGCAAAACTGATATGCCTATGAGCAAATTATAGAAGTATTATTCGGAAGCAATGGATGGGACTTCTGACTCTTTCAAAAACATATGCACAAAATCGTAAATTATTGTGTTATATATGCTTTATATTATTAGAAGCTCATAATCAAATCTAATATTATAAATGATTAAAGAGAGGTAGCCTCAATCACTTATATATTATTATTTAACTCATATTATTATGCTATAGGAACAAAAGTATCTAATCTCTTAAGCGTTGAAGCTTAAACGCAGGATATTCTATACACTACGAAAATTTCCAATCAGTAAACATCTATAAAGTTTCTAGGAGCGTATGTATTCCCGCCAGAGAAAGGTCTTGAAAATAAATGTCCTGTCATAGGTTTAGATTTTGCTTTCTTATACTCTAGCATAATCATAACCTACAATCTCTCATCTGAGAAGATGGTCTCAACATTTTTGGAAGCAGATAAACTAAAGAGAGAGAATAAAGTGCTTCACAGTATCAAGTTCAAGTATGGCGGTAAATCTGTGTGAACCTAGACCATGCGGCATAGGAATAAATCTGATCAGAAAGGTTATTTTCAAAAATATTGAAAAATTTGCTCAATATACGGAATGAACTAAAGGTCCAGCTAAAACCTCTTGGAAAGAAAAAGGGATATATGGGATTAGTTAAAAGTAGAATGGATGCCTGCGGATTTATCTTAATAGCAAGTGCAATCAAAGATGTTTGTTCACAAAGCGAATCTAAGAAGCATGCTGAAATAGCTGACATCCTGAATCCTTTCATTGGTTTGTCATATGATGATTTTAGGAAAGAATATGATTCCATCTGCTTCGATTATAATTTTTTAAATTTGAAGCAGAAAGCCATTAAATTGTATATGAATTCGTTCTATGGTGTAGCTGGCCAAAGTGACTCCCCATTCTTTATACTTGAATTCACTAGAGGTATTACTTCAGCTGGGTGAGAAAATATCAAACTCGTTGCAGAGTTCATGAAAAAGAAAGGTTTTGGGATAAAATATGGTAATACTGATTCCCTATATCTCACTTGCCCAGCTTTCTATTATGAGAAATGTGATCTATCTTATGATGTTAGGAAAGGTGTAATCTCAAAACAAGAGTACTGGACTGAAATGGTCAAAATTACTATGGGAATAATGAAAAAATTGCGCAATGAAATAAACAACTTTCTTAGGTTAAAAACCAGATCAGATTATCTCAAAATAGCTTATGAAGAAGTACTATTTCTGGTAGTATTCACTGGGAAGAAAAAATATTTTGGCATCTCCCATGAAGATATCTCGAACTTCAAACCTGAAAAGTTTTTATAAGAGGAATCGACACTGTGAAACAGGGTAAATCCCAAAGTTTTCAAAATCATAGGGGATCAGATTATGTGGGGAGTCATAGATATTAACAATGACCGATCACTCCATGATATTGCTGAAGACGTTCTCAAGGATACTTTGGTTAATACTAAGCAAAATAATTTCGAACAGTTTATAGAGACCGACGCATGGAAACCTGATAAAGACAACAAAGCTGTTCAGCAATTTATAGGATGAATGAGGGGAGAACATAAGAGTAAAATTCCAACTCCAGTTGAGCACTTTAGTTATGTAGTAATCCATCTTGACACAATCTTTGATTTACATGGTAGAAAATTAACACTAACGAAAGGCAAAGAATGGAATTCGTTGATGTGGCGAAGGAATTGGGTAAGGAGCTAGATTTATATCATTATTTCAAAAAAATTATTATTGGCCTCTGTGCCTGATTTATTGTGTATGATAAGAAGTATGAGTCAGCTCTTTCAGATAAGATAATGCAAATCAAGGATCTGGATGAGAAATATAAACAAATAGATGATTATGCATAAAAGAAGGTCAAATCATGGCTTGAGGGTTTCGTGAAGAAGAATATCATAGTTAATGGTATTACTTCTAAGATGATGGGATCCTGTGTGATTGTCTATAAGCGTACTTACAGAAATGCGGTTAAAAAAGCGAAAGAAATGTTATATCAAAAGATAGGCAGTTTATATGAAATAATCCATGATAAATGGCTTAACTATGAGATTTTCATGAAAAGTAATCCTATCGAGATATTATAGGGAGATTCATAAAATGTGCTATAAAAATTACAAAAGATAAAAACCTCTTGGTAGAAAATGAAATGAAGGAAAAAATATGCTTTGATTTTGCTCGATATTTTAGCGAGCTTGTAAAATGTATTGAAGAGTATAATTTATTCTTTCACAAATTATCTATCATATGTGTTACAAAGAGCATATATCAATTCTAGAAGAAATCAACCCAGTTTCATCTATGTGAAAAAATGAGATAATTGTTAATCTACCTGCCTTACCTCACATATCAGAAATTGAGATGCTAAATGACATTAGTAATTTATGGTATTTTCATCTTGATGTGTAACCAAATCAGAAGTGCTAAAGCAAAGCACTTAAATTGATTATAGTATTAAGTATTCTAGCAGAGGTGTGGTAATTTTAGCTAAGAACTTAGTCATAAGACGCTTCACATAATATTATTTACATATTTTCTTGTGCAATAATACCAGCTAACTTCAATTCCTATCTTCGAACTTCTGGCTTAGGATGATTACTTCAAACTTCTGGCCTCCGATTATTCAATCTGACCTTAGAAATGTTCGGAGATGATAAAAAATAGTTCTAGTTAGGAGAATACTCTGTATTACTTTTTTTCCATGAATTCCATATTTTTTTCCCAACGATCCATATACAGTCAACCCTTGATATAACGAATTTTATGTCCTGAACTTCAACTTCGCTATAGAGCTATAGTGAATTTTT